TGTGGTTGGAACCCTGAGTGTGAAGGAGCAGGAGGATGATTCCGGGGAGCTGGTGAGGTTGTTGGAGTAGTGGTTAGTGCTGGACGCTTCTGTGTGAGCTGAGCGGACCAGGAGTTTAAGGAAACACGCTGGGATGTGGTCCTGGGTCGGGGCCTTGACTTCTGGCCTAGGCCAGTCGCTGGGTCAAGTGGGGGGCAACCTGGCTCCCCTCACTGGCCCAATCACAGAGGAGGATGTGGAGGAGGAGGTGAAAGGTAACAGCTGGCAAGGACCTGCTGGGCTCCTGGGACCCTGGGACCCTGGGCTCAGCTTTGGTGCCTCATTTCCATCCCCACGAACCAGCAGGTGCTCAGACTCACTGGGCCCTTTTCTATTCCCTCCTCATGTGGTTTCCTCCCACGAAGCCCAAAGGGTCCCAGTTCCCTCGTTGAAGAATGCTTGGTCTTGGGGCACACTGAAATTGCCAGGTCTCCTCCTTGTCCCTCTGTCTCCACTGCTTATTTTGCCCCCAGATTTGGGCAGATCTCATTTTAATTTTGGCACAGACTGACTTTTTATCCCCTACTCTGTAAGGATGGAAACAGCTCCTAATGAGACCGTTTGGCGACTCTTGCCCATGCTATCTTGAAAACATTACATGTCAGTAAAGTATAGTTGTATTATTATTTTCAGTCACTTTTAGAGATTCAGGGATCGTATAGGTTTTTTGATTATAATGACACATTTCAGCTTTTCAACTGGAGATGTGTTCTTATGTTTCATGTTTCATTATGTATAATTGCCCACTTCTTCATTATTTCACTAGTACAATCCGGAAGACCTCTATTCCTTGGTATCCTTAGCAAACTTGACATTATTTTTCATAAGAGGGCGTTAACCTAGTGCCTTGGGATTGAGCTATATCCCAGCTCTTTAAAAGGTATACAAGATTTTTTTTCTGGTCAGGGTCCTGCTAAGCTGTCCATGCTTGCATTGACCTTTCCTCCTTCTTGAAAGTTGTGAGATTTTATGTGTGGGGCCCCACACCCTGCAAGCGAACTCATTATTACAATTCATGTTGTTTTACTTTTGGATTTTGACCCAGATTCACCTGATAATCAATGGTTAAGGTAATTACTGTTCTGATTTCTTTAGATCTCTTCCTTGAGTTGCATACTTTCAATTTATTTGATTTTATTTTTTTATTTACGTGCACAGCTGTTAATGAGCTCCAGCTGTTCATGAGCTCCAGCAACAGGAACTTAGGTATCCATGCACTCCAGCCCTGCAGGGGAAGACTTTCCTCTTCTACTTCCTCCTCCCCTGGCTTCCCCTGAGATGACTCTCCTGTATAGCGCTGCTTGTTGGTCAGGAACATCATGAAATGTCTCTGACTGTGACACAGCTGCAAGCATTGCCCGAGACCTGAGCTCCTGGCTGAAGTGTGTGGCTCTCCCCCAGCAGCACTCGCTCTATTCCACTAGAGTTAATCCTTCTCCTGCAGCTACCAGGGGAGGCCCTACAACTTCTCTGGCACTTATGTTGCACACGGATGGTGTCTTCCTTGGTCCACAGTTAGAGCTCAGTAGAATTTGTGTGAATGGGTGCTCAGACATCTGCTGACCTGCCTATTGCTTTTATTCTATTCTTCATATTACAGTAAAATTTGCTTAAGGATTATGCTGTAAATTATTTAAAAGAGAATAGTGTGCATTTATTTGTTTTTCAAAAATGTATTGAGAGGGTGGCTTCTATGGTGCAATTCCAAATTAGCACAGTTGGTACAACAGGAAAATCACCATTATTTATAACATGAGAAATCCGCTATTCTAGCCAACACTGTGCTTTTTCATGTAGCCAAGGTCAAGAGCTAGGGCTACTCAGTTGGATGAACTTGCATGGAAATGCCATTTCTATACCTTACATGCTGTGGAATCTTTGGCAAATTATTAAATAATTAGCTTCCATAAATTACAGTTTGTTTTTTTTAAAGGACACTCAGGTTAGTAATGAGGTTGAGAGCACTGAATGATATTATGAATGTAAAATGTCCATAATTACTTTGCCTCACAGGGAGGAAGCACTCAGTAACAGTAGGGGTGGTTTTCCCTTCCTCGGGTCTGAACATATATGATGAGATAGATGTACATGTACATAACACAGAGAAGGCAGAGGGAAAGGGTTCTGCATAACCTTTCCAATCCCACCTGGAAAACATGGTGGCTTTTAGCCCCAGCTTCCCTAATGAGATTAGGTTTGATTTTGTCCCCTTTTGTTTTTAGTTTTTTGATACAGGATCTCATTATGTGTTCAGATTGGCCTTCACTCACTTTTGTAGGCAGGCTGGTCTGGAACTTGCAATGATCCGCCTGCCTCAGCCTCTCAAGTGCTGGGATTACGGATGTGCACCACAACGCCCAGCACTTGGCCTCTTCACAGCAGCAGTGAGAGCCCTTTCAGATCTGCTAACAGGTTGTGTGAATAATCTCTGCAACAGCCCTACCTGGGGATTTTCAAAATAACAGTGTTTACCATGCTCACTTACAGGACTGCTGCTTGTAGTTTTCAAAGATGTAAACATTCCATTTTTATTATGTTAACCTAGTATGAGAAAGAAAAAAATAAATATATCAGTACCAAAAGCCACCTACCTGTGTGGATGGTGAGTTCACCCAGGATCCCTGGGGCCCTCTGGGCTCTGCCCTGCCTGGCTCTGACTGCTTTCCTATGAAAATGGGCAAAACCAGACCCAGCATACCCCCGGGTGCAGGGAACTGTGTCCCTGTTACTCCATGTAAGTGTTCTCCTGGTGTGTTTTCTCCCTTGCTTATAGGACATTTATTACAGGGTGAGGTGAAATAAATACACTATAGTCAAGTTAGAAATGAAAAAAAAGGAGTGTGCTCTGAAATTGCAGCAGAAGCCAAAAGAGATCTGCAAACCTACCTGTTTCCTAAGCAGGGATTTCTGTAACACCACTAAGGTGGGAAGACAGAGGACTCAGCAGATGGAGATCACAAAGGAAGGGCCTCTGAGGCAGTGGTGGCTGTGATGGAGCCTGTGACAGATGTCTGCTGACTGTGCTTCCTGCCAGCCCACTCTTCCCTCTGACCTGGGGAACTGCACCATAGAAATGCCTGTTCGGGATGGTGACAGAGCTCAGTGGTGGTGTTTGCTTGCATGTCTCAGGCCTGGCGTTAATCCCCCTTCCAGCTAAAAGTGAATAACTAAGCAGCCTGCTTATTTCCTCATGGAGCTTTGAACTAATATTCAGTATAGGCTGTTTTTGTTTTTTCTAAAACAGAGTTAGCTCATTATTCAGCAAAAGAAATTGCCATCATCCATAGGAAGATTAAAATAGAGGTAAGGAACTATTAAAGTCATATTTTAAAAATGTTGAAACCATGAAAGTTATTCAGACTTTCAGTTCTCTGACTCTCTGTCTCTCCCTCTTTTTTCTTTTTGTGCTAATTGGGACTCAACCCAGCCCTTGGTTCTGAGCTACATCCCAGTGCTTTTTTTTTTTTTAAATTTTGAGGCAAAGTCTTGATTAAATTATACAGCTGTCCTTGAGTTAGTGATCCTTCTGCTTCAGCCTTCTGAGCAGTTATTATTACTCGTATGCACCACCATGGCTGTCCAGAAAAATTCGTCCTTATTTCTGGTTATTGAGACAGTGTCGCAATGTAGAGTTGTGGCTGGCCTGGATCTCACTCCTAGCCAGGCTGGTCTTGAACCCACAGAGATCCTCTTACTTCATCCTCCTGAGTGCTGGCATTACAGTCTCGTACCACAAACCTGCCTTCAGAAAGCTGTTTTAAAATATGCTACTAAAAGTTCTAAAATGTAGCTGAGGCTGTGGGAAAAAAGGAACACTTCTCCACTGTGGGTGCGAGTGTAGCCTGGTGAAGCTGCTGTGGAAATCAGTATGGAGATTCCTCAAAATCTAGGATTGGAAGTTCCATTCAACCCAGCTATTCTCCTCCTGGTTATTTTCCCAGAAAAATTGAACAGCTCATGGCACAGCAATGGATGTATACCCATGTTTACAACAGCGCAATTTGTAATAGCTCAGTCTTAGAAAAATCAAAATGCCCATCAACTGCAAAATAAATGAAAAAGATGTGGTATTTTTATGCAATGGAATATTACTCAGCCATAAAAGGAAGATGTTGAGGCTTTTATAGGTAAATGGAAGCAACTTCAGGCTAACCTAGATAGTGAAATGAATCAGACTTACCTTTACTTGCATATCATATTGTCTGTCTCATATAAAAAATAATAATAAACAACTGAAAGAGTAGTAAGATCCAAAATGTACACTAGATATTAGAATAATGAAAGGGAAAGAAAGTGTGCTACAGGGTATATATGTATATATGTTTAAGTGTGTAGGATAGATAACCATACTAGTAAGTTTGTGTTGTTGCCAAACAGAATGGTTTGTACAATCACTGTTTGACTTTCCATTTTTATGCTTTGATTTTGTAAATTGCACAACTAATTCTAAGATAACAACATGTAGTTTATCAACTAGTGCTTTGTTTTTATTAATTTTTACTAGCTATTTTTAGTGTTTTATTAAAAGCAGCATTATTTCTACTCTTATTTCTGTTTTGCTTTTTTCCTCTAAATAAAAACAATTCTACTATATAATGAGAACACAGTGGTCTGAACACACATTCCCTTCCTTCCATGTCTGCACATTTGCCACCCACTGGGAATCCAAAGGCTGGAGAAGCTCCATCAGCACCTGCTGCACAGCAGAAGGTCAAGGTGGCCAAAACTGCTTTAACTTTTTGCTTTACAATCCAGCCTGTCTATGACCACATGATTACACTTCCGTATCCTTTTTAGCTTGAAAGTTCTATATATTTGAGAGAACAGAATTTTATTTGAGATATTTTACAAAACTCTTTTTCATGAGAAAGTAGTTTTTTTGGGATAGCATGAACATAACCATTACTCACATGTTGTAGTTGCAGTATTTTTGTAGAAAATGCTTTTTATCTTCTAGAACAAGAGACTGAAAAAACGTTGCAGTGAATTGGAAGAGAAACACGAAGCCTCAGAGCTGCAAATATCACAGCTATCAGCCTTCTACAGAAATCAGTTGCAGCAGAAAGAGGTAAATGTTATTACACCCACTGCATACTGATTTGTATATGACTTTTAGTTCCATAAAATTATTGAAATTCATAAAGTCTGTGAGATTTGCTGTTCAGCTTATATGATATAAACCAATCTTTGGAGAAATTAATTTCTCCATTCAAAAGAAGAATACATTTATATAAAATATCTGTAAATATGTTGGTGGTGGTGTTTGGTATGTTTTTGGAGGTCACCTTTACTGAGTGCAATGTGATCGTTGCTCCTGATATTCTCAATTACAAAGTTTTGGTTTTTTTTTTTTGCATACTGCTGATTGAACGCAGGGTGTCACCCTGAGCTACATCTCAAGCCCTTTTTGTTTCTAGCGATGTGAGACTACATCACCCATGCTGGTGCCATCTTGTCTCCTCCTCGCAAGGAGCTGGAATACGGGAAGGCACCACTCTACCCAGCTCTGAAAGTACCTTGACTGCAGGTGTTGGCATTTGTTGTACTTCCTTGTCATTGATTTTCCGTGAAGTAATATTGTCAGCATGATCCAATTGACCTAATGTTTGATAAATGTTGTATTTCCTTTTAGTGTCTTTGAAAGTGTTGTTTTGGAGTTTTTAAAAATTTTTTGTTGCTGTTTTGAGACAAATTCTCATTGTGTAGTTCAGGCTGCCCTTGAAATTACTGTGCATCCCTGGACATTGGCAATCCTCCTGTTTCAGCCTCCCAAATGTGGTGATCACAGGCATGGGCCACCACACCCAGCTCAAGGTTCTGATGCAGGACACTAGGAAGTGGCTCTGGCTGATTTACAGAAACTCCATTAGGTGATTGTCATACTTATCCCAAAGTGGAATCACTGTAGTGAAAGCTTTTGACATTTTATCTTGTATTTAATTCTTCATATGAAAACACCACAAATATTCAAGTGTACAAATGCATTTTTTGCTTCTTAGAGCTTGTTTTTCTATAGTTCTATGACTTGATAGATATGTGCATTGTAAGATAACAGCTTTTCATATTGCAATCATATAAGAAAAACTATGAATGTCATTCATTTTTATAAGGCTGAAATATCATGCTTAACATATCTTATAGATCTAATTTTCTGAATCTTATTGCTGCAATTATTTTCATGTTTGTATTCTCTGAGTATGCAACGTGCGTCTCTTAATTTTGGGGAAAATGAATGAAGTCTAAGTAGTATAATAACAATATACAAGACAGGGCATTAATCAGTGTTAGGGTTTTCCTTGGTACAAGAGAGAAGCAAGAGCAGAAAAAGAGACAAAAAGGAAAACGGCCTTTATTGGAAGCACGGAGAGTCACAATAGAGCGCAAGGTCCCGTGAGTGCTGAGGAAGGCACTGGAACCTCTATTCAGGTGGTGTAATTTCAAAGGCAAGTAGAGCAATATTGCTACAGGAGATGGGGGGATTGCTGAGTCACACCAGAAGCCTGACTTTTGATTCTGAGATTAGAAAAAGAATGCAGAAGCTATAATTAAAGGGATTCACTGTGGGTTAGGGTCCATCCCCCTGTTGGAATGGCACCTTGCTGAGCCTTGCAGAGATTGACAGGGGCAGAACCCATCAATCAGAAAGCCCTGCTCTGACATACAGCATAAATGCATTTGGGTATGTGTTTGGGAGTTTGAATTTGTAGCAATACAAATGCAGAAATACATTGCTTGTCTCCTGTCGCAGGGAATAAAGGATCCTTTGCTGATGTACAGTGTCTTAAGGATCGGTTGCAGCTCCTTTCAGTTCTGCCTAAGTCTCTTACTTGTGTGGTCTCAGCAGCTCTCCTGAGAGAATGGACCTGGTCTCCTGGTAGCTCGTGTGCTCAGAATTTCTCTTAGATTATGACCTGTTATTACCCTTGTGAAGCCAAAATTGAGCTGCTCATTGTTTCAGAATTTGTGTGTTGTTCTCTCTATAGAGAAGGCGGGATTTTCAGTGGTCCATCTCTGTCTGTGTTAAAGCAGAGCCCTCTTCTAGATTATCAGAGTGGAATAGGAAAGCTTTATACATAAATGCTTCTGTTTGTGAACAATTTGTTTTTTGAACAGAAGTATTTGGCCAAATTTTGTTATTGCCCGTGAACTCTGCTTTGGATGATGAACAGGATCTCAGCCATCTTCCCCTCAGGATCATGAAATTGGCTGTCTATTTTCCCTCAGATTCTAGGAATTGAACACAGGGGTTTGTCATGTAGATGCAACCCCAACTCTGTTTTTAATTTGCCATTTTCTGAGAAGGTCTTATGAACTTGCCCTGGATGAGCTCCATCTTCCTGCCTCAGGCTCCTAGAGTGATGGGTGGCAGGTGTGCACCGTCATGCCCAGCACTATTATTTTCTTCTGAGACTCTACAAATTGAACATGGCCAAACTGCATGGTCCTATCTAAAGCGTTTTGGTTTATAAATGCAAATGTCCTTCCAGTTGTGCCGTGAAGCTCAGTGCCAGTGTGCCTCGTGTCGTGGTGCATCTTAAGCCTAAGCCCAGTCATCCCTGGTTACAGGAGACTGTCCAGGTGACAGATGTTCAGAGGAGGCTGCTGAGTACATAGATGGGCACAACAGCACTCACTCCTCAACGGGACTCAGGAACTGCAGCCACAGCCCAAAGAACTTATGTGGATCCTCTCCATAGAAGATGGCACACCCGTGTTCCATTGACACATTGATTGCCCCGCTTAACATACTTGTGACATTTTTCTCTTCATACTATTTGAAGCATCTGTGCTTTAACTACGGTAGTTATGCTTACTTTCCAAATAAAGTTCTCATGATTAGGATGATTCAGTAGAGATGGATCTGCTTAGTGGAGTACAGTTACTGGGTCATCTTAGAGAAGTCTTTATGCTTTTGAATGCTATGAATCTGAGAACAGGCCAGATAAGGTTGGTAAAGCTGTCGTGTACCATGTGAATTCCATAGGTAGAGATCAGCCTTCTGAAGGCACAGAAGAATGCACTGCAGGACGAGCTGCTGAACCTGCAGCCAGCTGCTCAGGCAGTGTCCCCAGGGGCTGGCAGTGCCCCATCACCCACTGCATCATCCTCCCTAAGCTCTGCTTTCCATCATGGAGCTTCAGCGATGTGTACAGAGGCCATGGACTTTGGAGACCTCCTTTCCATGCAGCAGGAGTTGAACACCTTCTCCAAGGAGGTCATAAGACTTCAGTCTGAAGTTGGCCATTGGAGACGTGTTGCCCAGTCAATTTGGATGCTTTTAAAAATCCAGGAGTGAGTCAAAAGTGTGGTGCTGACCAGAAAGTGATGCATGAAGCACTTCTGGTCAGAGAACCTCCGGGCCTAGGAATTAGAAACCATGCATTGCACTTGTGACTCAGCCAGGGGCAAATTGATTTTGGTTGCTTCTCTAGCTTGGCTTAATTTGCTTTTCTGTAAAATATTTGGAGAAAATACTTCAAAAACTGTAAAGCCACAAATCCATTTTGAGGACCTGATTTGAGGGGTCCCTTTCCCCTAGAGATTCTGAAGATTCTCTGGTGGGGGACACCAAGACTCTGAGGCCCTGTGTGTGCCTGACGTTTTGTTAACTCTACAGACGATAAAATGAAAATCTGGCAAAGGAGATCACAACCATGCTAAACTGTTTTGTGTTTTAAGTCTTAGGAATGAAATACTTCCTATTAGATGTCTAAACTTTCTTCCAAGGAATGCTTGTTATCATTCATATCAGATTTATGTACCCTGGAGTTGTTAGTAGACAGGAGCCTTGGAATAACCTGGTAGTCCCTTAGCTTGGATTTCCATTCACTGCTACAAGAAAGTAAAACAACCAAAGTATGTAAGTCAAGCGATTCATGTCTATCTTTTATGAATGAAATTGAGTTCTGAAGAGGCCAGTCTTACCAACTCCTATCACCTGCTTCTTTCACACCCCAAGGCTAAAAACAGAGTAGGCATCTGTCCCATTTATCATGAAATAGCTGTGACTCTTGACTTTTGCTGAAAGAATAACTTGGAGAATTTGAAACCATTCTAGATTTCATGTCCAGCCTTTAGAGACTGATGGAGGGGCTTAGAAACTATTTTCAAACAAGGAAATATTTCTAGGTGATTCTCAACATCTGAGGAATACATTGTAGAAAACATTCCTTAGGGTGAGATTTTCAGGAATACTTCTATCTGGGCTTTGCTATGTTTGCCTGAAACATCTTAAATGCCTTTGAATGACAGGCATATCTTGCAGTGTAAATTTCAAAATCATGTAGCCTGCAGTTTTTAGGGGGCTTAATGTTCTAGGAAATCATCAAAGCAGTCAACATTTGTATTTTCCTTACGAGTTGCCACCTAAACTATCCCTACATATGTTATATCAGATCATTCTTAATAGCTATGTGATGTATTTATTGAGTCTCTCTGCAGATAAGGAAGCTACAAGTCATTACCCATTGAACCAGTGATTAAGTTAGGATTCAAATTCTCGGCTCTTAACTCCCAACGCTGTGCTCCTCCAAGTGCTCTGGTTAGTTTTTCAGCTCTCTTAAGGGCAGCATTTGTCTCATTAATGTGTTCTCAGTTAAAAGTGTCTAAAATAGATGAGTGCTTGCTAGAGGTTTGGGTGGGCAGTGGGAAGGGAAAGTAGGGGTTTGATCAATGTGTACCAATTTGTAGTCAGTTACCATCAATTCTGGGGTTCTCTGGTTAAGTGAGAGATTATAGATGCTAATACATTATGTTTTTCTAAGTAGCTTGACCAAAACACTTTGAGTGTTCTCACCACAAAGATGTGATCAGTGCTTGAGATGATAATGTTAAGTGTCCTGGCTTGAAAATAACACAGTGGCCACGTGAATTGAAACAGGACTTCATGCTGGGAACCCCTCCCTATGCACTTACTAGGTTTCCATTGAGAAGTGTTCAAAGAGAAATTCTAGCATGGCAAGAATAAGGAGGTTGTGTTATTTTCTTGTCCAACCTAGGAGTTCTTTTATGCTGAGATACAGATAAGAAAGTTGTAAACTACATTGTAGAAAGTCTTAGGAATTTTAGAAATTTTGCTTTAGAAAGCAGCTTGTTTATCCTATTTATAATTTGTTATGCAAAGTAAAATAGTCTGTTTTTTTCTATCCTAACTGGAGCTATTGTGTAAAACAGTTGCTCTTTAGTTAGTCAGCTCCTTCTCAGATGTGGCATCTGTAATTGCTTTCCTATCACTCTGTAGGGCACTGGGTTTCTGTAAAAGGTGTTTGGCATTCATGAATCAGAAAGAGGGAATTACGTCCTTTTTGAAAAGTAGCTATTAATAAAGTCTGGACCTCTAGTTTTCCAAGACAATTGGTGCAACTCTTTTCTCTTTCTCTGTTTTGGAACTCCTAAGGCCCAGGGAGCACAGAGCTCTGATGGAGGAGAAATCTGCAGGCTGAGGTGTATCATCCAGGTGAGTGGGATGGGTGATCTCCAGTGCTGGCTGCGCCTCTAGCATCTGTACAGTAAAAGGCCTAAATCAGCCCAGATTTCAGTGATGTAAGGGCTTCTATAAGACATCCAGGATTTATCTGTTTTGAGTTCTCTTTATTCCTTATGATAGGAAGTAAATATGTAAAATGATCTTCCCATTTGCTCCCACCCTCAAAAGCAGCTGTTTAGGATGCTAAGCTTGGAGAATGGAAATTTAAGGTAATTTTGTGCAACTTCATGAGACCTTGTCTCAAAATAACCTGAGCATGTCGGTCACTGCTGGCAAAACTGATGAGCATAGACTTGGTCTTGAATTTGACCCCCATGTTTAAAAAGAGGTAAAATAAATGCATTCAAATATCTGCTTCCAAAATAACTAAGAAAACATATTTCATGAGTCTATCTTGTAGATCATGAAGCTGACTTCATTAAAACAAAATTCCAAGTTCAGTGAGGTTACCAGATTTTAGGGTTCATGATAGCGGCAAAATAAACTAGATATGTAATTCTTAGGAGTAATTGTTCTACTTTAGTGGTAGAATTTTGCTTGTTTCTGTCAGTTATCTCCTATAAGAAAAGTCATATATATTATATCTCATGAATGGTTTTTAGTTTTGAAGGTTTGGTGAGCTGTAGCATTTCTGGGTTTTGGGTTTGCTATTATTATAATTCTACTGTGGGTTAAATTCCCCAGTCAGACCTTAGTGAAATCCTGACCTTACTGTTTACTGTTTGGCTAGTTTGGGCAAATGACTTCCCCTTTCCTATTCCGTTTGTGGAGGAAACCTCTTAAGAGTTACCTTGTAGGACTGCTTTAGGGTTTCAGTTGGAAAGGCTGGCACAGGAACGCATAGGATTGCAAATAAGTCTGACTGGTCATCTCAGAGAGGGCAGCTATCTGCAGATTACGGTTCTTGGTTACAGGGGAAAATGCCATCGCCCACTAAGTACAGAGGAGGTTTACTTGAAGGAGCAGGAGGTCTCATACAGGGCTGAAGGAAGAGTTAAGCATTCTGGTGTCAGGAAGCACAGGTCCAGAAGAAGACCAGGGTCCAAAGGACACAGTGGACAGGGATAGGAGCATGCAGCTTCCATTGCAATTCCTGTCAAGATCCAGGGTCCCAGGGAGGCACGGGTCACCTCCATTTTGGAAGGAAGGCATTGTAGTTCACAGGTTGGAAGTTCCCTTGAGGCCATCAGCAGAGGCTGAGCAAGTGGACAGTAGGGGCAGCAAGATAGGTACAAATTGCCCCTTGCTGTGCAGAAACATGTTAGTCAGAGAAGAGAGAGCGCATGGTTATAGATCCCTAAGCAAAGATACTTTGGCTCATCTTTTGCTATAAGGCTCCTTGTGGAGGTCCCCTCAGTAAAAGCAGAAACATAAGTTTTCATGTCTGGTACTGAGCATTGGACCTGGAACCTGCACACTGAGCCACACTCCCCGACTTTCTATTTTGAGACAGGGTCTCAGTAAGTTCCCCAGGCTGGGATGGAATTGGTGATCTTCCTGCCTCAGAATTGCAGAGTCCTGCCATTATCTTGTGCAATACCAAACCTAGGCACAACACGTCTTTTGAGGTATAAGAAAGAGGAAGTGAATTCTTTCAGAATTGTGCTTCTCTGTCGACTTTGTGTCAGTGCTTTTCAGTCAGAGTTAATAGTATCAGAGAAATAATTTTAAAAATGTAGATTTGGACAACACTAAATTAAAAAGTGCAGGGAAATGTGTGGATCATAAATGTGGTTAATTTTGTGATTAACTCCTAAGAAACTTGAAGAGGCACGAAAAGCAGACCTTGAGCAGCATCAGAAGGACGTCGCAGTTTTACAGAACTTACACCAACAAAACATAGCCAAGCTATGGAATAAATATCAGGAGGAATTATGTCAACGGAGGGCAATCACAGAGGTAAGGCTGCCCTGAAGATAGCAAGGTCCCAGGTAACACAGCATGGTCAGTGGATAGCACAATGGGAAGTGGGCAGCTATGAGAGCTGGCATTTCCCTGTGGTTCCCTCAGTAGTGTTGTGGTTGGTGTCAAGGTGCACTGCGCTCCACACACACTCTGCTGCACAGTATGGGATTCTGAGCTGTGCAAGCCTTATCATCTGTGACAGAGAAAAGGTCTCCCGCTGTGAGGTGTGAACCAGAGCACAGGGCTGTGTTTCCATAGAGCTATATTGAGAGACACAGCCTTGGACCCGCTGTGGCCCTTGGTGACAGTATGTGAATTTCTGCTGCAGGGCTTAAGACTTAAAAGTATACAACCTTGATCACGTGTTACCTCTGCCTTACAGCCAGAGGACCATATGGATGAAGAGAGGGAGAGAAGTGTACCATCAGTTCAGAAGGGAGAGCAAACAGGCTTGGGAGAAAAAGAGCATCCCTCTTCCACCCAGGATGCTGAGGACTTTGCAAGGCAGCTACAGCACTGCACTGCAGAAAAAGAACGCCTGTTAGCTGACCTGAGCAAAAAGACCAAGGAACACCACATCCTCACCAAAAAATATAATAAAATCCTGGAAATCATGGCCTCAAAACAAGCAGCCAGCACCAGCCGGCAAGTGGTGAAGACAGAACCATGCTCTAGAGCTGAAGGTGATTTAAAGAGAGGCGCCATGCACACTTCAGCTCCCACCACGCCCAGAGTATCTTCTTGGGTTGATACCAAATCAGACCAAGAGAGGAAACTATACCAACTGAATTATTACAGGAGATTTGGCAAAATGCTCCTACAAGAACAACCAGGATGGAATTCACTGAATGAGAGGGGCCTTGGTTTGGAGGATGTAAGGCACAACAAACAACAGGTAAATTCTGGGTGCAGAATTGTGGTGCAAAGCTGAGGGACTGAGACGTTTTCAATTGATAGTGGCCTGGAAGAGCACAGTCCACGTGTGCATTTAGAGACATTTACTTCATATAAAGCTTCCTATGCGGCATCTCAATGTGTATTCCTCACATTAGGGGATATTTTGAAATATTTTGAGTAGGATAATAAGTTTTTAATCATCCTACTTATTTGAGCAAAGTTATTTAGGAGTAACTCATGATTTAATTATTTTTTCTTTTTCTGTTTATTCAAATTCAAATTGCTTCCAAATCTAGAGGCCTGATTTTATAGATTTTTGGATTTTTGGATCAGGAATGCTAACCAGTAAAGTCTACTAAAATACATCAAAAACCTAATCTGAAATTGAAGATAGTTTTTGTCCCAAGTGTTTTGGGTAAGAAATAATGATCTTGTATTTTGACTACCATCAGTATTATCTTTTGGAGAAGAAAGTATGTTGTCAAAAAAATCTTCACAACAATTTCACATTTCATATTTGCTCTTTCCAACATGAAAAAATGGAAATGTAAATTCTTTGGAAAATAACTGGGTTCCCTACACAGGAGTGTGCTTTGAACAGGCATATATGGTACTGTCCCTTGGTTTCATGGATTGATGTTAGGGGTGCATTCTACATATCATTTCCTCTTTGCCAGGAGATAGGGCCTCTCTGTGTTGCCCAAGATGGCCCTGAACGACTGGGTGCAAGCGATCCTCCTGCCTGAGCCACTGCTGACTGGCTGGGACTCTAGCCTCCTGCTGTCCTGGCCAGTTTCTATGTTCTTAAGAAAATGCAAAGTCACCATGAAATCTTAATTGAATCCTAAACCACATATTCTTTTAACATGTGGGTTAAAACACAAAGGAATTCACTCTAGTCAGCCTCACTGTGTGTAGTGTGCTTCAAATTCCTCAAATGCAGCCTCTGCCTTGAGTACCTGAGTAACTGCTCACCCTCTGTGACCAGCTGAGGTGCAGCCTCTGCAAGATCGCACCTCAGAAGAGCCGTGGCGCTGGTGAAATGTAGGCCTGCAAGTGCCTGAGTAAATTCTGCATCATAGCTGAGAAAATGGTGTGAGCGGGGCACAGTGAGTAGGGACTTACAGGCCAGGGAGCAAAGAGAGCTGCAGAACAGTGCAGTGCTGCTGAGATCAGTGAAGGAGAGGATGGATTCAGAAAACGCGGGCAGGGAGCATGCACACATTTCAAATGAACTAGCAAACTAGTTTCCTTTAATGAGGAAAAGATAGCTGATCTCAGAAATGATATCAGCAAACTGTCCCCATGGAAGAAAATAGAATTGGACTCCACCTTCACCGGGACCAAAATGAATCGCAGCCGAATTAGAGCAGTGATTGCCAACTGGGAGTGGTGTGGGATGTTTTGGCATAGTTTGTTTATTGGAATGACTGCTTGGCTCTTGTAACATTTATTCAGTTTACTGTCCTGAATGTAATGATAGCAAAAATAGTATCATCATAGAAAACTGTTACTTTGTACTATTTGTAACTTCTTTCATATAATTTTCTCAATTGTTTGAAAGTACACTCATTTCATTCTACACTGAAGAAGTCAACTGGTGCAGTTGTAGGATATTTTAATATTTTATTGGTTTAAATACTTTCAGCATATAAATCAGTTGTCACGTGAGGATACTGACATATTGAGATATAGTGGTACCTACCATTTTATTGGAGACTGCACTTAGGATGGGTTCTGATTGTTCTAAACAGCTCCTTCCACAGGCAGAAACCTTTAGTAGAAATTGGATGGAAAGCATGGTTTACTAATATCTGAAATCTCAAAGTGGATACATTTCCTTGTATTGACAGTATTTCTTTGGTTTTAAACAATCTTTCAGCTACTCTCTGAAGACCATGGAGGAAACACAGGACAGGTGCCTGGGTGGCTTTTTGTATGGAAAAGGAAGGATGCCCCCTTTAGAGCGGATCAGCACCCTGCATCCCACAGAGTAAGAGCCAGTTTCATTTCTCCTCAGTATGAATGGTGAAGGGAGGCTGGTTTCTCCTGTAGGTTATTTCATAAGACCACTTTGCTATTTTAGAGTTAAGGCAACATTTCGAGGTGACAACCTGTTTTCCTCATCTGTGTGTGTGTTTTACCTGCAATCCTGAATGAGGTACGTTTAGTCCAGAGTCTTAGCTATGTCCTGATAGGAGTTCCATCCGGTTGGCGCAGGCATTCTCGCAGCAAGGTTCCAGCACTGTCATAGAAAAAGGCTTCATTTCACTCTCAGATCTCTGTTCGGAGTTCCTGAGCCACTGACACCCACTGAGCAGCGGCTCTGTATTAGAGGTTGTCAGCACCAGGGATGCAGCTGTGATCCAGAAGGGCTGGCCCATGCCCTGAGTCTTGTCAGGAGGGAGGAGGCGTCAGGACATGGTAACACGCGTGCCCAGGGTGCAGTGGGGCCTGGATGACTGTTAACCCAGTACAGCAACCCCGTGACACAGGAGATTCCTCCTCTCATTTAAAGGAAGGAAGCACGAAGCGTGGGATTAATTCTCATTTTCCGTGGATGGCATGAAATGTAACGAAAAGGAAAGACGTGCATTATGATATTCAATCTGACCTTTACAAGATCTGTGGAAAACTGATGAATGATCATTTTTCTTTGATAAAATTATTCATGTCAGTGTTGTTAAAATGAAAAGCCTAATGTGCTTAGCACAACTGATGCTAAGAAGTGTGTGTTCTCTGTTGCCTAGTTCTGATTACAAAGTGTTTGAGATGAGTGTTGTCACCACTGATCAGTAAAACGTTAATTTTAGGTTTAACTGAGTAGCCTAAGTGCCTGCCCCGCAAGCACAAGGTCGCCAGTTCAATCTCTGGTATCAAAAATAAATTAAAATAATTAAGTTGTCATAACCAGTTATCTAAAGTGCTAGCACTTTTATACCTGAAGCCAATTTGTTTAACAAGAAAGAAAAAAATAAGTATTCAAATGGCATGATCCGCATTTAACACTGGCACATTTCTTAATTACAGTGAACATCATTTTATTATTTACTTTAACAGAACCAAAATATTATTGTTAGTCTTTATTTGTAACTTCTTGTGAAATTTCTATAAAAACAACATCTTATCCAACTGTTTTACCACCCAAATTTTCTGTTCCTAGCGTGCAACACCTAGGTTTACCAAGGAGCGTAGAACTAAATACAAATATAATTATACCATAAAGACTATTAAGGAGAGGCTTATTTTTTTTAGTGTTCTCACTGAATTGTTAGGCTTAAGTTTTTGCTTGACAGTAATGTAAGCTAGCATTTTAAAACATGTGTAATGTTGATTCTAAAATTCCAAAATAAGGTATGAAATTTTAATGGCATATGTATTATAGCAGTCTGACTTTTAATTGGTTATGTGAATTTAAGTTGTATAAGCAATTTTCCATTTTTCTGTCAGATAATTCTGTCTGTGCACAAGCCACCTTAAGTGGTTCTTCTGGATATGGTAGTGAACTGGCTAAACCCTTGCCTGATCACTTCCTTCCTTTTCTGACTCTTGGTGGTGTTTATGAATCAGAGTCAGGTGCTGAGTTTATAGTTCGAGAATATTTTCCTTCTTGGAACTCTATGTGTTATACTTAGTAGTGAAACCTAGACCTGAAAAGAATGTTGTCTTGGTTTACTACACAGCATTCAACCTCCAAGAACATTAGGAAACACTTTGACATGTGGAAAGGTCAGCCTGGAAGCAGTGGGTGCTGCATGGTACAGGCAGGTCTATGTATTTTGAGTCCACTTTTTAGGTTTCAAGGGTCTTATTTGTTTTTGTATCTCTGGTATTGACCTTTAGTAATATTTACTGAGGTGACACTGAATTATCCACTAGACTATGGTTACGGTTTGTGTCTGGATAACCCCTCCATGTCTCATGTGTTGTGAGGACTGGGCTTTTTGGAGGCAGCTAAGTCTACAGTTTCTGACTGGATCACTGTCTAGTGCTGGGGTTGGGGCTGTGCGTGCTGCACCTGCCCTCCGACATGCAGCCTGCAGACAGCATCAGGGAGGAAAAGAGCCTTGCTTCTCCCCTTGTGCTCTTCTTGCTTTTGCTGTTTTCCCTGCTCTGAGCAGATGTTGCCCCTGGGCCAAGTGCCACCCTGACTTGGAGCCTGCAGATTTTGGAGTGAAATCTCTACAAACTGTGAGCTAAATAAAACTTTATCTCCTTAATTTTGGCTGTTGGGCATTTTGTCTGACCAACAAGATATCTAAATGAAAAACTATGTACAGCTTTCATTTTCATTTTATTTGTCATTGGTGATGTTTGCAATACATGGCGATTCAGCACGTGTATGTCATGTATCTTGATCACTTTCAGTGTTACTCCCCTGACACCTGTTTTCTTAATGCTCTTCCTGTCTCCTTGACATTTGTCTTATTTGACTCTTCAAATCATACATAGTTGGAATTCTTGTGAAAGAAAAAGGGACCCGAACTGAATTTTTTGTGTCTATCTTACTTCACATAGCGTTATGGTCTCAAGGTTCCTCCATTTTCCTTTAAATGGTGTGCATTCGTCCAGCTTTAGCAGTGAATAAAACCCACTGTGAATAGACACCACATTACCTTCATCCATTTGTCTGTTAGGGAATCTTGGATCTTTCCAGTGCCTAGCTGTTGGGAGATCTCTTCTTCTGAAATCTTCACATTTTAATGTGCACTACATGCAGGCACATGCTATTCCATAATCTTTAGTTTATATCACACATACATTGAAGTTCAGTTAACTATGTTGTGGAATTTTTAAAACTACCTTATTTAGACAATTATTTTAGTTTTTCTGAAATGTTATAGAAAGATAAAGTAGTAAAATCTAACTATCATTTACATAAATTCCCCCCAAATTTAGTGAAAAGCTTTACAGCTTCATCTAGGGATACAGAAGACTCTAAAACATTTTTCCTTGCTCTCTAGGTGCAGCACCTTGAGGGGAGCCTCTAATTCCTCTTCTCTAGATTTCATCCTCCTCTTCCTTCCCCTTCTTTGCTCTCCTGTTTTCCTTTCCTTCCCCTTTCTTTTTTTAAGTCCAAGCCCTGCTGGGTTGGCCTGGCTTAGACACACAGAGCAGTGGTGCTTAATGTTGATGGAAGCTTTGCAGGACAAAAAGCAAGCTCAGTCTTCCATCCTGTGCTTGGATGTGTGTCAGAGCTGAGAAGCTGACCCCAGAAGCTGTTCCCCTATGCAAAGTTATGGAGTACAGCAGATGAGCTTGGGAATCTGGGCTGCCTCAGTGGCAAGTGGACTGAATGAGTTTGCTTCAGTGTTTCCCTGGCCCAAGGCCTCCTTCATTTGTATTTCTTTTGTTGAAGTGAGCAGTATCAGAGGGTTGCTCCTGTCAATGAAGTTGCCAGTGGTCCTGGGTAATAAAGAGAATTGTGGGCACTAAGGCTTGGACCATAAGCTGAATACCTCTTCCAGTGCAAATGTATCCCTTGTTTCAGCCCAGCACGGTAGAGAAATAACCTGAGAGTGAGGTTATTAGAGTGCCTTCATGAGGCTCAGGTAAGGGGTGGAAAGAGTGTTTGCTTCTTATGAATACACAGTCATTATCCTGGTTAAGTAGCATGTTCCTGAGTGTTGCAATGCCTGGGAAATCTTCAGTTCTCCAGTCCTTTATCTTTTAGATGGGTCAGTACCGCATATGCCCTGTAATGCTGAAAAAGCCATAAGAAAAGGTGGTAACCCAGTAAGGGAAGTTCTGTTCCACACCTTGATTTAAAAATAGAATTAACATATTTAATAAAACACTAGATATACATGGGAACAGCTTCTCTTTGTTTTTCTTTCTGCCAGTCTTTTTTCCTTATTTCTTCTCCCCTCACCATCTGTGGTTTACAGACCTCTGCACTAGGGATCCAGGCCTAGCAGCGCATGCATTACATTTATTCGGTTGTCAACTCTGGAAATATAAAACATACGTAAAGCATTGCTTTTTTCAGAACATGATTTGAATTACCAAGTGTGAACTATAATGGCACTTTCATAGTAGAAATTAGTATTGATGGCTCAGATTAGGGATCTATTTCTGCTTGGATTTGGATAATTAAAGGACCATACAATAACTGTGCTCAACATGCTCTATTATCAGCAACAGAATTTTCCAATTGATAATAGCTCTGCCTGGAGGCACTTGCCTGCAATCCCTGCACTCAGGAGGCTGAGGCAGGAGGATCACTGACAGTTTAAGGACAGCGTGAACTAGATAGCAGTATACTGTCTCAAAAAGACCAAAAAAATAAAATTGACAATAGTGGTGAGACATTTTATAATCTGTGTGTGTGAATCAATTTAAGGACGTAGTGAGTGCTTTTAAATTTTCTTAGTTATATTCAGAGAGTTTTTCAAAATGAACTACTTTGTGAAGGGTAGAGACTAAATAATTCCTATTTTATCCTTTAGGTGCAGCAGAACCACAGAAAGATTCAAGAAATCTGAATGTACTCCAGTTCCCCTTTCTCCAGCACTGCCCCTTTTTTGATCCCCAGGCTTTGTTAGCATTTTAATGAGTCCCCCATCCTGAGGTTTCCAGCCACCCTGACACAGCCCTCCCCACCCCTTTGCCTTCTCCTCAGCTCTTCTGCTGAGGAATTTGGCAGCAAGATGCCAGGCTGCCTGGGAGCCTTCCCTTCCTGGGAGCTTTGCAGCAGCTGGCAGGCACTGCATCAGTGATGGCAGCTCCTCCAGGCTCCTTGTGGGCAGAATTTACTTGTGTTTGCTCACTGACCAATGTTTGTGGAGTTGGGCAGAAACTCTGGGTTCTCTTGAAGTGGAAATGCCACCCTCCCCACAGGGACCCAGGGGATACTGGTTGAAATTGGTCCTGCAGTGATGCAGCCTCCAGCATTTCCTGGTCTCCTGGTGCTTGCTCCTATGGCTGTGTCTGTGGCTCACGTGGCCTTGATGCTTCCTCAGAATGGATGGCTGTCAGCGGCTGAGACACAAGAGCAGCAGGGCCTGCTACCCACTGGGACTGGCTTCTGAGGGCCTGGCCATCCTTCACGGGCCTGTCATGGGCTGTGTCATGTGTGTCTGGCAAAGGCCTGAGACACCTCCATCAGCACAGATCTTATGCTTCTGTGCTCAAGCCTTTGAGAACACTAGTTGACTTTCTGCTCTAAAGAAACCATCCACAGAAGGAACATGTGCTGTATCACAGAGCGCCTTTTGGAAAATATGCTGTAATAATTTGCTGTTGTAATGTTCTTAATTTAATAAAAATATTCTTTGTTCTTTAAGAAACTGCAGGTGTTAGAGAGGTGTTTGTTACAGAATTTACTGCTTTCCCCTTCTCTGATTTCACTTCATTTGATTATTCTTTTGTCTTTATGTGCAAAAATAAAGGGGAAACAAAATACTAGTCTGTCCATCCATAGCAGGTTTTTATTTTGTTAGCTGATTTTCAAGCTCATTTCAGCTAGAGATGTGGTTTATCTTTTAACAGTAATGAAAGGATTTTAGAATATTGATCCACAGCAAACACAAATGGCCTTTGGGCCAGTACAATAGCCGAGATGCCCGTGCCCATGATGAGAATATTCTTCTGGAAACCTAAGCAACTGAGATTGTGCTGCTTCGCAGGGTCACCTTCCTCCCTGCCTCATTTATTTTGTTGTTCTTTGGGGCTTGTGCAAGGAAGCTGTCTTAGAAGTTCCTGTTAGAGATGTGACACTGCCTCCTGTCAGTCTTCCTGTGGTTATTTCTCTGAGCGCAAGGGGTACTCCCCAACTTAGAGAGGGGTCACATAAGCTCAACCCAGTGTAAACTGAAAATGTGGTAACTTCATGCCTTACAGACACTTTCCCAAGTCTGTTACATCACCTGCTGCTTTGCACTGTGGTTTCAGTGCTTAGTTTTGAGGGAGGAGCAGTCCCTGGATGGCTTCCCTCCAGCTCCTCAGCAAGCCTGTGATTCATCTCCAGAGACAGAAGTCCCTTCTTCTTCCTGTTGCCTCATCAGAGAGTTGCCCAGAGCTGGGATCTTGAGGGGCCTGAGCTGCTCATTCTCAGGATGGACATCGTGGTGGATGGTGGGGCCCAGGGCACAAGACAGGCTGACACCATCCAGCAGGAACCTCAGGAAGGACAGAAAGCCACTGAATATGTGATTTCAATGCCCACAGCAGGCCCAATGCTGACAGTAGATTAGTGATTATACCTCAACTTGTCACTTTGCAGAGAAAAGCTACTACACAGCTTGGTACTAGAGCAGAGCTTCAGGAGGACCCTGAACCCAGTCCCTCCTGACAGTGTGTGCTGAACTACAGGCTCATGAGCCATGCTCTCTGAGCTCCAGGTGTGGCATTGGTCTGATTAACTGTGAGCCAGGTCAGGTTACCCTGTCTACCAGATCCATGGGCTGCATAGCATGCCCTTCTCCCAAGGCGCTGGTGCTCTGAACCCAGGAGAGGATTTCTGCCTCTGCAAAGGTCCCTCTGACCCTCTCCACAGGGGGTGGGCCTGATCCTCTTCACTGTGGGCTGTGTGCTGAGCTCTGGCACTCTTCCTGCCCCTCACACATCTGATGCCTGACTTGTCCCAGTCCCTGTTGACAGTCTGTGCTGAACTGCGGGCTCATGAGCTGTGCTCTCCGAGTTTCCAAGCACCACATTCTTCCTTGACACGGGACTGCTTTCTGAAACCTGCAGCCAGGGATTTTCTCACCAAGAAGGTGGATGCAGACAGAGAAAGAAAGGAGCTGTGCTCTGGTCCATCCTCACAGTGCAGGGCAGCGGGCTGTCCTTCTATGCCCAGCTCCCTATTCCTGATTGTTCCTGTTTCTGCTTCTCAGAATGTGTCTGGGGGCCTGCAAGTCATACTGGATTGGAGTCAGACCAGCCTGTGTATCCAGCCTCTGTGTTTTGTGGAAAATGTGCTCCAGCAAGTGAGACCACAGAGCATTGAGACCAAATGAGATGCCTTTCCCTTTGCACTGCGAGCTGAGTTCCTCCCTGTCAGTGCCTGTGTGCCCCACACAGCCTCTGTTACCTGGACTGTGAATGGAGGAGCTGCAGGACAGCAAGGGTTGCAGACTGCACTGCTTACTCCTTGTCAGGAGGTATGAGAATGGCAAGAGGGCGCCTTGTCCAACAGAGAGCGCTGCCACTCAGCATAAAAAAGTAAGCCTAACTTGTGCAAGAGGCCCAGTAATGCTCCCCTAGTGGGCACTGTGTTCTTGGCCCCTACAAAGTGACCTGCCCAGTAGAAGCCACCATTATATCTGCTGGATGAGTAAATACAGGTCGAGGTTGCTAGATCTTCCTCATATCCTGGAGAAGCTGGAATCTGAAATGTGCTGTGGAATCTGTGGCATTTCAGTATTGGGAATGAACTCCATTGCAGCTTCTCAGGAACATGGGGTCCAGCATATGCACCCGTACAGGCTGGTGATGCTGGTGAATGTGGGTGCTGGTTTCTGAAGCACGCTCTGCCCTCCAGGAAACCGTTAGGCTCAGAGCCCTGATTATGGATCTCCCCAGAGTTCTCTGAGCCCCTGCTGAGTCTCAGACTATCGCAGGCTCCAGGAGTGCTGGCCTCCTCTCCCCGTCTGGGATGAATCTTGGGCACTAAGAGAACCACTCTGTGGTTCTCCCTGAGGACCCTTCCCTTCTGTACATGTGTGGGGCTGTCCATTTTCCCCAGTAAGTGTCTTGGGCCTGGCTCACTGCACCTCCTAATCCGTGTTCATGAAACTGTCATTGGCCCTGACCTCCCCATCTCTTCCCAGTGTTCCTACAGTATCTGGGATTCTGCGGGTGCCCAGCCCATCCCCCAAGTGACCATGCTGTTCCTAGATCTTATCATCTGTCACACTACTTGGCTGCCCACTGCATCCACCACCCAGTCCCGTAGCTACACTTGACCTTGACATAATGCAAAGTGGCTCTGCATCTGGCAGGTCCCACTCCAACTTTCTTGCCCTGCAGCTGCAAGGTTCTGTCCTGTTGCACCCTGCATCCTCCTGACATGCTGCCCTCCAGCAAAGCTCTCCTTATCCTGTTGGTTCTTCACCTTCCTCCAGTTCCTTCCTCCCCACCTACAAATGCCTTGTGTCACCTGTCCTATGACACTCTCCTAACCATGCTTCCTGTGCCATGAGCTCATCGAAAGCAGATACTAGGGGCCTCCTGGGGACCTGGAGAGAAGGAAGGAGCCCACCAGCCAATGTTGAATAAGAACACTCTCCCCTGTTATGCAGTAGCCTGGGACCCTCCAACCTTGGGTTCTGGGTTCCTGCATCCTTTCTTCCCCCCTCCAAATCCAGGCTTCCACCCTTTGACGTCAGGCCTCTCAGGCTGCGCCCTTCATGGTGGTTTCTGCCCTGGGTACTCCCTGCTGGGTCTGTGGGGTGCTTTGTGGCTCCTCAGTTCTTTCTCATAATTACTTAGAGGCTGGAAGCTCCTTGGACACAGAGTCTCTTCCTGATCCACCTCTCAATCTTGGCAGTCAAACTAGAAATTTCTAGACCAATGGAAATGTAACAGAGGCTCTTACTGGATGTGGGGAGTAGTTTCCTTTGAAGCTGTAACAAATTACTACAAACTCAGTAACTTAAAGTAACACTAAATTTATTCTCTTCAGCTGTGGAAATGGGGCTCAAGCAGCTGGTTGCTCCATGAAGGACCACGAAGAATCAGGTGTCTCATGTGTTTCTGCCACTAGAGGGCGCGTGAAAACCATGGCTCTAGGCCACTCTCCTGGATCTCTCAGACCTGTGCTTGTGTCCTCCTGTCTGAGTCTGTGCTTCCTGCTGCCTTCTTGTAAGGATTCTTCTGATTTTATTGGTCCCCAGTTAGCCCAGGATCATTTCCTCCTCTGGAAGTCCATAAAGTCCTCCTTACTCCATAAGGTACATTCACAGACCACAAGGCCAGGTCCTGAGTATCTTGGTGGCTGTCATCAGCTTGTAGTCTTTACAATGTCAGAAAGAAGCCACAAGGAAGCCAAGCTCACTGGTTCATTGCTGTTTTAATTCCTCCAGCAGAGCTGGTAGCTTTCATTCCAGTGGTCTCAGGACCTGGAGGGAAACTTCTAGGAGTGTGCTGCTTATAAAGCTCCCAGACATAGGTCCTGAAGGGGCAGCCCACAAATACAAAGATCACAGGGTTCGTGCAAGGATCACAGGCTTGGTGAAAGCAAAGAAGTTAACCAGCTGCTGGCCCAGGTGGGTGACCTCCTCCCAGAACCCGCCCTGGATGGCCCCTACGTGGAACAGGAACTCCAGGAAGGCAAAGAAGTGGTAGGGGGTCCAGCACACCAAGAAAGCAACCATAGGCATGAAGATCAGCACCGTGGCCCTGCCCCCTAGGAGCCCCATGCCAGCTCCTGTTCACCTCTTCCTACCCATGCAGTGACGCCACGATGTTGTAGCTTAACAAGAATATGGCAGCCAGAGGGAGGAGGAACCTGAGGACATGCAACTCCACCATCATTGAAAAGAGCCAGGCCAGATGGGGGAACAGCAAGGTGCAGGCAAAGACATTTAGATCAAAAAGGGCTTTAATTGAGGGAAGCAGGAATGTGGGGTGCTCAAGAGGTTCGCTGCTACCCAGAGGAACAGGCAGATAACCTGGGCATGCCACCGCTGCCGGTGACCTACCTGACCATGGGATGCACGTGTACCTTGTACCTGTCCTGGCTGATGGCCACCACCAGGAAGATGCAGATGAACACAGGGGCCTTGATTACCCCATTGATGACACTGCATAGGAGGGCTCCGAAGGGCCAGCTGAATTTGCTCCAGATGTTCTCTGCCCAAGAGAACATCTTGGGCAGGGCCAAGACAAACATGAGGTTAGGGCCGCCAGGTTGGATAGGTAGATTTCTGACACCTTCAGCCTCTGCTGGGGCAGCAGAGTTGGGACAGAACCAAGATGTTTCCTAAGAGGTTAAAGACACAGAAGTGACAAGTGTCTGTAACACTCTGTACAGTGTGTCCCAGGTGTCAGGAGCATCACAGGATGTGGTGTTGGGATGGGAACCCTGGCTCTTGTGGGACAAAGGGAGCTCCAGGAGGTTCTGGAATGCCATCCACAATGACCTGCAGTGACAAGTGTGTAGGGTTACACAGGAGGTGCCAACCTGTGGCTCTGGGTCCAAGTCCAGCCTGTCCTGACCAATTAAGTTTTATTGCCACCCAGCCACGCCCATCAGTTACACTGTCACAGTCTGCTCTTTCATGCTACACTGACAGTGTTCACCATCTGGTCCTCTAGAGCGGTGACAGCCAATATTTCA